ATGTGTAGTCTCAATAATTTGAAGAGTGCGGTGCATATTTTTGTAGACAAAGTGTGCGGCTATTTACTACATTTATTTTTTTCGACAGTTCATTTTTTATTGTATTTTTTCATTACCATTTATTCCCCCCAAACCCTCTTCCACCTCCACCCACCTCTCTCCCTACCACAATCGTCACAACTGTTGTTCATGTCCATGAATTATTTTTTCTTTTTAAAAATATTTTATTGATTATGCTGTTACAGTTGTACTATTTACCTCCCTTTATCCCCCTCCACCCTGCACACCATCTCCCACCCACAATCCCCGCCTTTAGTTCCTGTCCATGTGGCATACATATAAGTTCTTTGGCTTCTACATTTCCTATACTATTCTTACCCTCCCCCTGTCTATTTTCTACCTACCATTTATGCTACTTATTCTCTGTACCTTTCCCCCCTTGCTACCCCTCCCACTCCCCACTGAAAGTGCTCCATGTGACCTCCATTTCTGTGATTCTGTTCCTGTTCTAGTTGTGTGCTTAGTTTGTTTTTTGTTGGTTTTTTTTTAGGTTCGGTTGTTAGTAACTGTGAGTTTGTTGTCATTTTACTGTTTTTGATCTTTTTCTTAGACAAGTGCCTTTAATATTTCATATAATAAGAGTTTGGTAATGATGAACTCCTTTAACTTGACCTTATCTGAGAAGCACTTTATCTGCCCTTCCATTCTAAATGATAGCATTGCTGGATAGAGCAATCTTGGATGTAGGTCCTTGCCTCTCATGACTTTGAATACTTCTTTCCAGCCCCTTCTTGTCTGCAAGGTTACTTTTGAGAAATCAGCTGACAGTCTTACAGGAACTCCTTTGTAGGTAACTACCTCCTTTTGTCTTGCTGCTTTTAAGATTCTCTCTTTGTCTTTAATCTTAGCTAATATAATTATGATGTGCCTTAGTGTGTTCCTCCTTGGGTCCAGCTTCTTTGGGGTACTCTGAGTTTCCTGGACTCCCTGGAAGTCTATTTCCTTTGCCAGATTGGGGAAGTTCTCCTTCATTATTTATTCAAATAAGTTTTCAATTTGTTGCTCTTCCTCTTCTCCTTCTGACACCCCTATGATTTGGATGTTGGAACATTTAAAGCTGTCCCAGAGGTTCCTAAGCCTCTGCTCATGTTTTTGAATTCCTGTTTCTTCATTCTGTTCTGGTTGACTGTTTATTTCTTCCTTCTGGCCCAAACCATTGATTTGAGTCCTGGTTTCCTTCCTGTCACTGTTGGTTCCCTGTATATTTTTCTTTATTTCACTTTTCATAGCCTTCATTTTTTCCACTGGTTTGTGACCATATTCAACCAATTCTTGAGCATCTTAATTACCAGTGTTTTGAACTGTGCACCTGATAGGTTGGCTATCTCTTCTAAATGTTGTATTTTTTTCTGGAGCTTTGATCTGTTGTTTCATTAGGGCTATATTTTTTTCTCATTGTACCTGTTGAGGGGTGGAGCCTTAGTTGTTCACCAGGGCGGGGAGCCCACATGGTTTTGTTGTGACTCTGTATGTGGCGGAGGGGTCCAAGAGGGTACAGTGCTGCTTGCTCTGCTCTCTGTCGGATTTCAGTCCCCTCTGCCGCTTCCCACAAGCAAAGTGTGCCCTTCTGGTGCTGGTTCCCCAGTGGATGGGTTTGTGTATGTTCTAGGAACCTGTGAGTCTCTGCAACGAGCTCTCCCGTGAGGCTGGGAGTCTCTCCCTGTGCCTCAACCCCCACAGGTGTGTTCAATCGGTGTTTTGAGGCTTTATTTTCCCGCACTGTGGCCCTGGCTTGTGCGGTCTGATCCACTTCCCAGTTTCCCCTGGTTTATCTGTGCACAAATGTGGGGCCACCAGGTCTGCCAGCTGCCACCTTGCTGGGTCTGCCAGTCTTGTCTCGAGTCCTTTCCTGCTGGCTGCCCATCTCCACCCCTCTTACGAGTCTGGATAGATGTGTCTACTTTAACTCCTTGGTTGTTGGACTTCCATATAGTTCAATTTTCTGTCAGTTCTGATCATTTCTTGTTTTTAACTTTGTTGTCATCCTTCTTTTGGTGGTGTGAGGAGGCACAGTGTGTCTACCTACACCTCCATCTTGGCCGGAAGTCCGTGTCCATGAATTCTTTTTCTTTTTTGCTCTGTCCCTCCACCTCCCACCCCACCCACAGTCATTACATTCATTATAGCATTGTTTGTAATAACAAAGGATTAGAAACAACTTAATGTCTATCAAGAGGGGATTGATTAAAAAAATTATGGTATGTTTATACAATAGAATGTAATGCAGCTGAAACAAAGCATGAAGAAGTTCTTAAGTATTGCTAAAGACAGCTCACCAACATCAATTAAGTAAAAAAAACAATCAAGATAAAATGTGGAAATGTGCTATTATTTGCACAAAAAGGAAAAAAGTTTATTTTCATGTTTGCTTGAATGTACATTAAAAAACTCTGGAAGGATATCTAAGAAAGTAATATTAGTTGTTAACTTTGTGTGTTTGAGGTCTGTCTGGAAAATGTCAGACAATTGTTAATGAGAATGGTTTGCATGACATTGATGTAACTTGGAAGCCAAGGAGAGTGGACTGAAATGCATATGTGTGAGCAATGATGACTTCACTATACGAATTAGTGGGGGCTGTAGACATAGTTGAATGAGCATGTGTACTGTGTGGTTGTCACGTTCAAAACGACTGACAGAGTAGAGCAAGGAATTTTGTGTTTGAACGTTTCTCTACAGAAACTATTCAGATGATTCCCAGGCCGCAGCTATGGACAACTGGTGATTGGCAGCCTCACCATGGCAATGCACATGATGCTCATACATCATGTTTTGTGTAGTTTTTTGGCAAAAACATCAAATCACCTAGGTGATTCAGTCCCCCTACAGCGCAGATTTGGTGCCCTGACACTTCTGGCTTTTCCCCAAACTAAAATCACCTTTGAAAGGGAAGAGAGTTCAGACTGTGGATGAGATTCAGGAAAATATGGCAGGGCAGCTGATGGTGCTCAGAACTGTGTGAGGTCCCAAGGTGCCTAGTTTGAAGGGGACTGAGGCCTCATTGTCCAATGTGCAATGTTTCTTGTATCTTCTTCAATAAATATCCCAATTTGTCACAGTATGTGGCTGGACACTTTCTGGACAGGCTTCATGTATGTGCCCATGGATTTTGGTGCCCTTACTGCATAAAACATGACCCCAAATTTATCGGCCTAAGACAACAACTATGATTATCTCACAGTTTCTGAGGCTCAGAAATGCAGGAGTGGCTTAGCGGGGTGGGTCTGGCTCAGAATCTTTCGTGAGGCTGCAATCAAGATGTCAACTTAAAGGCTTGACCGGGCCTGGGGGATCTACTTCCAAGATGACTCACTCACATGGCCGCGTGCAGGAGGCCTCAGTTCCCTCCCAGCCCGACCTCTCCGGAAGGCTGCTTGCATGTCTTCATGACATGGCTGCTGACCTTCCTCAGACTGAATGATCTCAGAGAGAGAGGTGGAGAGAGGGAGAGCCAAGAAGCTGCAAAGATTTCTATGACCTAATCTGTCACACAGTCACACATCTGCAGAGGGGAATTAGGCTTCACCTTTTGAGAGGAGGAGTATCAGAGAATTTGTTGACATCTACTTTGAAACGGCCAAGGCAGGGGAATGGGGAAATGACTGGGTCAATAGAGACAGATCTGGAAGATTTTTCCCTACGACTATGTTTATGCTTCTTCAACTATGTATTTTACCATAGTAATCCAATAATGAGTTAATTACATATCTTTTAAGCTCTTCGGGAAAGAATTGGGACAATAAAAAAAAAAGAAAAGAAAAAGCTAAACAGGACGTGGATAGGAAAACTTGTTTGAGGTACAGTTGACCTTTGCCCAGAAGAGCAGGGAAATAAAAGGGTCTCCTCTGGGCTCACCCCGCCCTCTCCTCCCACCCACACCAGGGCTTGGTGCGGTGACCGTGTGTGACCAGTTCCAGATAATCTCTGTGGAGGGGCAACAGCTCTGTAGCGGGGTTGTTGTATGGGGCAGGCGTTTATCATTTATGAGGGCTTAAGTCCTGTTACAACAATATGTTTCTATCTAAGCCATTCTGTTGCCACAGCCTGTGGTCATTGCTGATTTTAAATATTAGATGGCGCACAATGCCATTCTTAATAGGTCATGTTTTACTTACTTGCTCCACCCTCTGGCCTTCCAAAACCCCTCTGGTGTGACATTTGTTCTTTAACATAACTTGCATAAACCTGTTAAGCAAGCTAAGAGATTGTAACCTAGTAATTAAATTGAGGGAGATTTAATGTCCACAAAGACGTGGCATGGAATTCGAACAGGTTTATTGTCGCTCCATAAAGTTCCTTACGGGCGCGTGCACGGGGCAGCACTAACTGTCCTCACTGCGCCCCGGTGGTCAACTTTACACGTCGGGAGGTAAGGCGAAAAGTTTGGCAAACAAAACTACCTCTTTGATACAGTAATAGACCTAGAAAACACTACAAGTCCACTTTCACGCTATTTCAAGGTGGTTGCTGCTTCTGAAGGGTCAGGGAGTGCGGGCAGAGAGCGCGCCCTTCCCTCGCCCTCATCTGCGGCGACCCCAGTCCTTGCTGTGTCTCGTGGGGACCCTGGACTCCAAGCCGGTTCCTGCCAGCCGGGCCGAGGCCAACTCCGAGGGTGGTGGCGTCCGGGGAGCTGGAGGCTGAGAGGAGCGCACCCTCCGAGGCCACGTCCCCCGATTTGCGGCTCCAGAGACGAGCCACGGTTTCTTGAGAGGCGAAGTGGGAGGCGGACGGAGGGAGGACAGGACATGGAAGGAGTTCCGCGGGCCCTGCGGCGAAGGGACGCCGAGGAAAAGGAGAGGGCCCGCGGCGAGCCCAGGAGTCGGGAGCGGCGCGGTCGGCGCGTCCAGGCCCACCGCTTCCGGCGCCCTCTGGGCCAGCCCCGCGCCGGCGGTGCCACATCCTCTGGTGACGTCAGCCAGCGCCGCCATATTGGGAAGGCGCCGCCGCCTGGAGCTCGGGCTGCCTGCGGGGCTGCGGCCGCAGGAAGGAAGGAAGGGACTTCTGTCGCCCCGCGCCGACGCCCGGCCAGCCCGCTTCGCTCGGACGCCTTTCCCCATGAGTGTCTGCAGTTCGGCTGCCAAGGGACGTCGCCCCAGCATCCGGATTTAACACGGAAGCCCGGGGCCGGGGCCGCGGGGGGAGGAGGAGGAGGAGGGAGAAAAGCCGGTAGGTCCCGCGTCCCTGTCGGCCCGGTGCCGTGGCCTCGGCCGGAGCCATGACCTCCCTGACGCAGCGCAGTTCGGGCCTGGTGCAGCGGCGCACCGAGGCCTCCCGCAACGCCGCCGACAAGGAGCGGGCGGCGGGGGGCGGCGGCAGCAGCGGCGAAGACGACGCGCAGAGTCGCCGCGACGAACAGGACGACGACGACAAGGGCGATTCCAAGGAAACGCGGCTGACTCTGATGGAGGAGGTGCTCCTGCTGGGCCTCAAGGACCGAGAGGTGCGGGCAGGGCGGGGGCGGCCGGCGCGAGGCCGGGGTGTCTCGGGCGTCTGCCCTCCGAGCTTCCGAGCCCTGCTCCCGGGAGCGCCCAGCTGGCCTGGGGCTTCCAGGTCCTCCTTGCTCAGACGGCTCGGATTTTCCGTCCCTCCTTTCACATCACTCCGTTCATCCCGACTCCCTGGGCGTCTGCATTTCTTCCTCGCCCCTCTGAGCGTGGCTGAGAGCCCGTGCAGACTCCAGGTGAACGTCTTCACCTGGAGACTGCCAGGTACAGCGAAGCACCTGGCACCACCAGCACCCGGGACACCTGGGTTTTGCAGGTTTTAGGACCTGGGGGGGCTCCATGGATCTGCTTTCTGGGAGATTTTTAAAAAGCTTAAGGTGTACTCTTTGGAATTTTTAAAAATGTCGGTGAGATGGTAATGGAGGCAAAGTTGTTTCACTGATAAAGTTAAAAATCCAACAAAATCCTGATGACACCTACTGGAAAATGACTTTCTTGCTGTGGGTGAGAGATCATTTTAGTGTCGCTTTTACATTTTATCAGTTAACTATTTTCCAGAAAGCATTGGCATCTTAAGCAACGGCTTTTTCGTGGGGTGCTTGAAATGGTAGGTTTGTGATGAAAGGCTTCAAAACCTTAGGTAGCTTGAAGTTGCCATAAGTATTTTTCTTTGTGTTCTGACTTGGAAAGGTGATTTCCACCTATATATCTTACAAGAATTTTTACACGTACAGAAGTTGAAAATGCGCCAGTGTAGACCTTTTGTATTCATCTTCTGTTTTGTCATTAACATTTTGCTGTAATTGCTTTATCGCCTTTCTACCTACAAAAATGATTTTTAGAGACTCCCAGACTGTGGAGAGATGGTTAGTCTAAATGGTATTTGGTAAGGTGGTTGCAGAAGCTTGTTTTCTCTCAGCATGGAAACCAGACATTTTGAGAGTGAGATACAAAAATATCGAAGTTATTTTTCTTTTCCTAAAATTTATTTTAAAATTATAGTTGACATACAAAATTATATTTATTTCAGGAGTACCTAAGTTTTGTTTTGATTGTAAGAGTGTTTTGTCAATTCCAGGAAAGTGGGCAAAAAATTTTAATTCTTATGAAACAACTTAGCCTTACTTCATCAGTACTTATCAGATAATAGGTGAGGTTATATATATATATATACCGTTGGTGGACTCTGGATATTTAGTAATCGAATGAACTCAAGCTTGCCTTGATAGAACTGTCTACAGCATTCGCAATATCTAGGTTTTCCATTTGCTCAGGTTTTTACTAAGATCACATGACAAAAGGTTATGTTCCTCTGGTTGGAGAGTGGGCCTAGGCTGTATATGGCATTTCTTTTTGTTCTTCGGAAAAATAAACTAGATATCTAGTGTCCTAGAATTGCCATTTTAGGAAGTATTTAACTTGCCTTTTTTTGCTTTACCATTTAGAATCTTGGTAGTAAATGTTTTTCTTTAAGTTTATAATAAACATCTTTTTTCTTTGGGACCAAAGTAACATTTTAGAAAAAGAAAAAGCCAGGTGAAGAAAAGAAGTTATCCTTATTCCTGAGTGGTTATTTTGGTTGTATAGTTTTTGAGACTTCTTGTGAGGGTAAGTCCTGTGTGTAAAACTGCACTTAGAAATACTAAAACCAAAACTAGCTTTTGGACTTTTGTGTCACTCTGAGTGAGAAATTATGGGGGAAAAAATAAGTCTCTTTTTGTTTTTTTATGTGTTGCTCCAGTGTTTAAGCTAAAACATACCAGCATACTACTTCCCTGGGATGAGTTTTCGTGATGATGACCTACATAATTTGTTGGAGCTTAATGGTACTCGGAAAATGTAGATACTTTAAAAGTTTTTTGGTGGCAAGTAATCGGAACCATCTGTTCTGTTTGTGTCAGGAGTCTCGATACTTTGCCATGTCATGGCCAAAGTCCAGACACTAGTTAATTCTGAGCATTTCTTGCTGATTTCAACAAGCACCATAGGGAATTTCTTCCCTCTGCTGCAGGCAGGTCCAGGGAGTTGAAATGGAAATGGGTGGGATTGGAATTTCGCATTGGTTTAGATTCAGGTATTAACCTACCTATTTTTTCCGGTCCCTCATGTCTTCTCAGACTACTAACCAGCCCTGTCAACTCATGCATTCATGTAATTCTCCTGCGGAGGTTCCCCGTGTCTTCACCTTGTGTCACTGTTTTTAGGGGGCAGGGGTTAACTCTCTTACCTAGGGCCTAGGCATTTATGCTTATTAATATTAGATTTTAACTTATTAAATTTGTGACAAACAAGTCCTAGACTCAAGCCATAATACAAGGTGGGGCAAAAGTAGGTTTACAGTTGTGAGTGTGCAGAACAGAGTTTACTCTTATGTTAGGATTTATTAAATATTATATTTCCATATAAACAACTGTAAACCTGTTTTTGCCATATCCTTCATATAGTTCAGTAAACTTGCTCTAGCTTTTTTATTATTTTAACTCAGCAAACTCAGAATCTACCTTTGTAATAATTGGATAATCTTAAAATATTTATATTTTAAGGTGAGGCAGGTCGTTAGTGGTGGACACACCTTGTATGTGTGAGCTAACCTTATTTGAAATAAAAATAAATTAAATTTTGAAATGGTGAAATTAGTTTTACTTTCACAGCTTTTTAAAAAAAATTTTCACCTGAGGATATGTTTATGGATTTTAGAAAGGGGGGGGAGTAAAGTGGGGGAAGATAGAGAGGGAGAAACATTGATGTGAGAGAGAAACATCCGTTGGTTGCCTCCCACATGCACCCCCACGGGGGATCAGACCCACAACCTAGGTATGTGCCCTGACCAGGAATTGACCCCTGATCTTCTGGCATCTAGGATGGCGTTCCAATCAACGGAGACACCTGGCAGGGCTACTTTTTACTTTTTAAAAAGCTGAGAGTTAGTCTTTTTGAAAACATTTTTTGTTGTTGAGTAATAAACCTACAGGAAAGTGCAAATATCATAAATATGGTGAATTTTTTAAACTGAACACATCTAAAAACTAGGATCTGTGTCAGGAAACAGAATCTGACCAGCTTTCCAAACGCCCTGTTGGGTTTCTTTCCAGTCACTGCCCAGTCCTGAAAGGTCACTGGTAGCTTGGCTTTAGAATTCAGCATAGAGTAATTTTGCTGATTTTTTTACTTTGATTTATGCCGTGCTTTTGTAGAGCATTGTTTGTGAGATTCACTCATATTGTGCAAGGTTGTCATTTGTTTATTCTTACCGAATTACCAACTTTTAACACATTTACAATCTACAGTTTTTAAAAAGTGACTTTGGCTTATATCCTGAGTAGTGTTTTCCCCTCCCTTTTTTACTGAACAGAAGGGTTAGCTTTCCAATAAGCAGATTGTTTGGCTTCCAATGATCTATTACAGCTGACTCTAAAGTCTTTGTGAAAGACATTTTTTAAATTTAAGTACACATTTCAGGTTTAAAAAAAATTTAAACCAGTGATTTTCCTTTCTTGGCTTTTGTTAAAACACAGATGCCTTCGTCCTTCTGGAGATTCCTGTGCTCAGTCTGGGGGGAGCATCTGTGACACAAACATTGAAGTAAATCTTCAGAGGCCACATAAGAATGGCAGATAGTCTTAAACTTGAGATGAACTTGCACGTGGTTGGCACCATTTCTGTAATCTTGTTTGTGTTTTGGGGGAGGGGCAGCAAATGATCCAGGGGTTTTTCCCAGCTGGTATTTGATTTTTCCGTGAATGCCTCCAGTGGTCAGAGTGTTTTCAGAATGCCTCATTGAGAATTACCTCAAATAACTGGTGTCATGTGCTTTTATTTTTATTTAAAAAATTTATTTATTGATTATGGAGAGAGAGGAAAGGAGGGGGAGAGAAAGAAATATCAATTTGTTCTACTTAGTTATACATTCATTGGTTGATTCTTTTATGTTCTCTGACTGGGCATTGAACCGACAGCCTTAGTGAGACAACTCCAACCACCTGAGCTACCCAGTCAGGGTGGTGTCATGTGCTCTAAATATCTTTCTTGGTGGCAGATCAGAGTGATTTAAGGTTGGATTTGATTATTTTTAAAGGACCACGTGTAATTTAGAGTGAGTCCGTGGAATACCAGAAGTGGAAGGAGGTACTGTAGTCCTAGCCCGAGGTGTATCCTCAGTTTTACATATTTAAGCTCTCTGAGCCTCAACGTTCTCTAAAGAGAGAGAGGAATAGTCCTCTGTCCTGGTTGTTTGGATTGGACTGTTGCAGACATGCATTTGTTTGACTGTCCACCAAGATTTCCCTTAGGGCGTTCCCCATGGTGTGTACCCAGGATGTCCTGTGGAAGCATTTACCCCTTCCCTTTTGTGGGGCAACCAGACCTAGACTCGTCCAATGAGGCAGCCCCGCACCCCATCCCTAGGCCTTGGCTCCGCACAGCAGAGCAGGCTGTGGGGGTTCTGAGACCCGTCAAAGTCGAGGCAGTGTGTGTGCCTCAGCCTGTTCTCTGATTGTGTTCCCGGAGCACACGGTTCTCTGATGGGGATCTCGGAGCCGCTCTTCTGCGTCTGCTGGCGCTGCCTTTTCCACCTGCTCAGTTTGGAAGGCACCTTTCCATTTTGTAAGCTTCAAAAACAGTCCAGTGAAGTTTGTTTTTAAAGATAGCCAGAGTCACTTACCAACGTTTCTCATGCTTGGAGACAAGAACCCCGATGCAGTATTTTCACTCTTTATGTTCTACCCTAAGTGTGTACCCCAAGTATATACACTTAGGGTAGAATACTCACGTTTAAAATGAAGGAAGTGACTTTTATGTGGCTTTTAAACTGACTCCAAAAATCGATCCCATAGATGGGTTCCATTTTTGAAATAAGTTTCCCAAGGTCAATACTTTTAAATACAATACTTATCAAGATGTACAATTAAAAAAAATTCTCCTTTGTATACATGCAGTCATATACATCATCTATGCATGTCAAACTTGATGAGTAACATTCAATAAATATTCAGTATTT